GTATTTCAAACAGAAATCGCAAAATTAATAATTAATCAATTAATACTCTTATTAATTAATTGTATTAATTTATACTAATATACAACTTAAATACAACCCTCTCTGTGTAATAATTATTATACCAGTTAGTGATATCAATTTTGATTACATAATTGCGGTGATAAATAAAGTGCGTTTACACAAGTAATATAATTATGTGCTTTGTGTACTCTTCATTTATGTTCTATGCTACAGACACTGTTATGGAAACACGTATAGTCTAAAGTCACACCCCCCCCCCCCCCCCCACCAAAATAGATCATACCCCCCCCCCCCCCCCCCCCCCCCTCTCCGGCCAAAATCGGCATTAAAGGAGTAAAAAATGATTTGTATTTGCCAACCAGGTTTTTCTGTACAGAAAGATTGAGAGTAATATTGAGAGTGTGTGTAAAACCCCTTTACCTGATTGTGCGCCCCGTGTGGTGCGTTTTCTTTCTTCTTCGAAGTAAGCCAGCGAGGACATTGCATAGTACATGTTGTTGGATTTTGGTTTTAAGTTTTGATTTAATGAATTTAATGAAGTGATATAAAATGATTGGCAGTTTCCCATTTAAAACATCTAACCTGTGTGACCTTGAATATTATTAAATTTTAAAGAGTAACTAATATTCTGTCAAATGCTACTTATCCACAACTCTGCTACCATGGATGACTGAGCAGCAGCCTTGTCAAAAGTTGTTGTTTAAAACCTCTTGTACCCAAAAAAAAACGTGTACAGTATGGCTTGATAGACAATGCATACCAAACAACAACCATACTCAGTGTTTATGTTTTATTAAATAAAACATTTATTGTAATTATATTACTCAGAAAGTTGAAAAATATATACATTCATGCAATATCAACAGTTTCAAAACATACATTATGATGGTACAACAATAGGTACTGGTACAGGTTTGTTCTCCATATATTCCTAGAAAAAAATAGTTGTAGGCCTACTTATGAGTAGAAATATGTTGGCCTTTCAAAAAGACACAGAAACAATTAAAAAACTGTTCAGAATTATCAAAAGGGGAAGATGTGTGTCAGAAGAGGCACATAATATGGCATGTATAAATAACCTTACTAATAATCATTTGAGTGCCCAAAGGATGCTAAAAGTATTAAATACAACCCTTACAGTTATGATCAAGACAAAAAGTTGACATCACAAATTAGGGTCATGCGCGAACCATTGTCACGTTACCTTACTGGGATGATATGGCAAAAGAAAGTGCATCATTACAATCATAACAACATTACTTTGATTAAAGGGATCCGGTAACTTTATCTCCGATTTTGAAACAAAATCCGGGATTTAGCTCATGCTGCAATCACAATTATAAAACTTTAGGTCAGTCAAGAACCTAATGACTTTTACAAGCCGATCGCCTGTCTGATTGTCAAGATATTTATGATTGGAATTACAAGTTTTGAAAACCGTTTGCCGAACGGTTTTCATAACACTACAGTCTATTGGGCAAAACGAGTATGGTAAAACCGGTCACTCAAAGATTTTTACTTTTTTGAGGCACTTCTCGATCATTTTGAAGCGCAATGTTTTTAGGACTCCAATATTACACCATATTACAGATACTGATAACACGTAGGGCCGTGCATCTCAGAGTTAATATTTTTAAACGATACCTTTAAACCAAGTTTCTTAGGATGAAATCATTGAATATTCTAAATTCAGAAGGTAAACATCATGCTCAAGAAAATTTAACCACTATTAGACAATACCCCAAATTCTGTAAATTAAATATCAGAAAAGGGAAAACATTGAATCAAAACCTCTATAGATAATAAAACATGAACATTTACACGATTGTCATAATGATTACATACTATGATAAATATTGTCTTAATTTAGAAATACCCCACAATGACAAAAATACTTAATAGCATTAAATATGATAAAAATGATACAATTACAACAACAAAAAGAATCAGAATACATCGGAAAGTAAATTTGATTGAGAGCCAAGGGAGCATTACATCTATGCACAGGTATTAATAATAATAATAATCATGGTGGGTTCTTGTATAGCGCTCATATATGTCAGACATGACACTCCTGGCACTCCACAATATAATATATTATAATCATTCAATCGTGATTACTGATTTTCTGTTCTGGAGTTTGGCAGCTCTGCATTTGGTCTAATTTCCATTTGGTCTTATTTGCAATAGGTCTACTTCCCATTTGGTATATTGCTCATTTAGTCTAATTTGCGGTCGGTCTTATCCTGGTTTCTCTAATGCCCGTCTTGTCTACTATCGATATGGTCTAATAATCATTCTATCGTAAATAATAATCATGATTAAATGATTATTAGACCTTGTGGATAGTATAGGGGCTGGGTGTAGACCATATGGGAAAAGCCCAATTGTAAAGTAGACGAACTGGGGGGGGGGGTGTTTCACAAAGATTCTAAGGTGAGCTTATCTCTAAGTTGGACTTAAAAATTATGGAAAGCCATTAGCATCTTTGAAAATATTTTGTAAAAGTTATTTTGAAAGGCATAAAATGTTGATTCAAATCATTCATATTTTCTATCATCAAGGAGATTTCATGTTCTTGATGTGGAATTTATAAAAAAAGTCTAAAATACTTGAATTTTTGCTTTTGAATATATTTCATTTTAAGGCTCCAATGGCTGTCCATAATTTTTAAGTCCAACTTAGAGTTAAGTTCAACTAAGGATCTTTGTGAAACACCCCCCTGGTGGTAGAACAAACAGCAATACACTCTATAAAAGAGCCACCAGTATAAAATGATAGCTTACCATGAAGAATATAACCTCAAATTGTGACAAACTGATTTGCAAAAAAAGATTCAACAGTCCTTTTCAGGACTACAGACCCTCAAGAAAGATTACAGAGAATCCTTTTCAGGACTCCTCAATCCACCCTCTCTCTCACATGGTGCACCCGCAAGCCTACTGTATAAAAAAGATTCTATATTGGAATAATAACAATGATATTGCATCGAACCACTACCGACTCCTCTAAATTTGTCCAAGGTTTTTGGCACACCTCGCCATATAACCAGTATATCCTTACGTTAATATCAAGGTTGTTCAATAAATAAATTTGATAGATCTCCATTTTTGTAAGTCTTCTTCTGTTTGTGTTTGCTTGTCATGAATGGCAGTAGTGGGAGAGCAGTGGTCTTTTAAAGGGATCCAGTAACTTTGTCTTTAGATCCTTTAAAAAAATCCTTGATTTAGCTCATGCTGCAATGATAATTATAAACATTTAGGTCAGTCAGGAACCCCATGACTTTTACAAGCCGATCGCCTGTCTGATTATCAAGATATTTATGATTGGAATTACAATTTTGAAAACAGTTTGCCAAACGGTTTTCATAACACTAAAATCGATTGGGGAAAACAAGTCACTCAAAGGCTTTTACTTTTTTGAGGCACTTCTTGATCATTTTGAAGCGCAATTTTTGTTAGGGCTTCAATATAACACCATATCACAGACACTGATAACACCTAGGGCCGTGCATCTCAGATTTAACATTGTTAACCGATCCCTTTAAGCAGGAGGTCCCCTGTTTGAAACCAAGTCGACGCGCTAGTACCCTTTGGTAAGGCATTAATTCTTATTACCAAGTCCTTTGGAGAGGACCTAAAGCCGTCGGTCTCCTGGTCGCTTAATTACAAGTATACACTTGCTTTCTTAGCAGTCAGGTAAAACAGACAAACAAATAATACAATCTCAAGGGATAGAGAAGACGTGTATTCAGGATTGAAATGTACCAGCATCATGTGACCTAGCCAAATTTCTATATCTTCTGCCTTGTCTCACCGACCTGAAGACAAACCCTGAGGGTCATTACTTACATTTTTACCTTCATGATGATTTCTACCATAAACTTGCTCATCCGGCCTCATCCTCAAAGATGATTTTCAAGGTGTTTTAACATAATACAGGGAATACAAGATACTGGTTTAATAAATCGTTTCCTTGAATAATGAATAATGAAAACAAAATAAGGATAACGTAACCTTGAGAGCATGAGATTTGGTAAAGAAAAGTTATTTGTTTTTGTTATTACCATAATATAAGTTTGTTTCATATTCTTAATCGACAATACTGTGCAAAGTCAAACAAATGACTAACTTCCTTTTCCCACGTAAAATAATGGCATATTATGCTATTTCAACAAAAATAAATATAGAGGATGTATTGTCAATATTTTTACATATATTGTAAATATTGGAAATGAGATTTCAAAAAAAACAAAAACAAAACAAGGTGCAGGTAATCTCCATTTTAACAATTTAACGTACAAATATAAATCCCTCAAAATAGTTTGGACATTGGAATTTGATCGATTTTATCTTTCTTGCCATGGAATAATTATTGCTTTGTTTAGTATCATCAGGCAGTATGGCAAATGTTAACTTCTGACCTTGCCCCTTAATTTGATGTGATGCACGTTCCATGACTGAAAAGTCACAACAATTGGGGTATCATTGTGAGGAAGAATAAAGACACTTTCTAATGATACTTAAAGGTACTATGTCCCTTTTGCAGCCAACCTCAAATTCTGTAGAACTTTGCAGGAAATATGAATATGTTATGTATGTCCTATTCGTGAAATCTGAACGTTAGCAGTGTCCTAATATTCAAATTATGCAAGGAAACCCATTTACTTGCTAGACTTCACTGTCAGACACTATTGAGTGACTGACTTGCTTTTTTTCTTCTTTAGTAATAACATACATAATTATAATGAGCTATAAGGTACAGGAGCATTTGTCTACATCAATAACCCACTTCTTGTGATGGCCAAAATTAAACTGATTGAATCTTTGCGCAGCATAAAACGTATGACCATTCGGTACAATGGTCTGAAAATCAAGACTATTACTTATTGGCCCTATAGCTCCTAAGTCGATCTGACAACTAATAGTCGTTATTTTCCCACTTGAAGACATTTTCAAGCCCCAACTTGTTTAGGGAAGTTCTAAATTGGTATTATCTTTCAAATGCCGTTGGAATTTAACCTTTTCATTTTTTTGGCCTGCAAATGGGACATAGTACCTTTAACATAGGGATGATTGTGCCATAACGAGAGAGATATAATCAACTAAACTTGAATTTTCCAAACTTTTTAAGAGGTTTATTTGGGTTACTCCAACGACCAAATCCAGTGCTTATGTATATCATTCAAACGGTTGAAGCTCGCTATTCCTGAGGACCATTATTCATGAGGACCGTATCTATAACGCATGACAAAATAAATAGTGATCCTTTAAAGCTACCAGTATATGAATATCGGCCCTTATAAATATCGAGGAAACCATAGACAATTTACCTCGCTATTCATAAAGGACAGTCATTCATAAGGACCACTAATCATAAGGACCGCTATCCATGATAAATAAATGGCGTTTTTTATAAATACCGGTCCATATGAATAGCGAGCAGACCCCATTCGCGAAAATAAAACCCTCGGGAAAATAACAGCTTATACAGTACCCTGCTTTATATAACTCACAATCATATGAGTCTGAGAGGACCCTGTCCAGATATGTGTTGAGGAACATGCCGCAAGGACCAAACCTCTTTTGCAGACCATCTTTGGAAGCGTTCTGATAAATCCTTGTTCTTCATAGTCCTTCCAAGTTCCAGGTTCATATGTTCATTAGTTGTTTGTTTATGGACAACCCTGCTTCATATAATTCACAACCATATTAGTCTGATAAGATCCGCTCCAGATACGTGTTGAGGAACATGCCGAAAGGGTCCAACTTCTTCCGTAGACCACAGAACTTGGACCATCTTGGATAGAGCTCTGATAAATCCTTGTTTCTCATAGGATGTTCCTGCAATAAAATAAATAAAAAAGAACATACATGCTGATCATCTAAATATTGTTTATATATACATGTATACCCGAGTGTCCGGAGAGGTTGTGTATGTGCACAGATGATCTAATAAAGCAATTTGAAGACGTTTACATGTAATATTTCATAAATTTTATAGGGCTTATGTTGGACTGTACTAGTCATTTACATCTGGGACCAACCTTTAACGTCACCATCTGAAAGTCGTGATTCAGTTTCTAACTTGACTTGTTTTTATATTATGCCAGCGTTAGCCCCAGAATATATTTTTTCTAACTTGAGAAAAGTACAATCCCTCATCAGTCATAACATCTTTCAAAGGGTCTGAAATGAACTGCATGTACAATGCTAGGACGCAAGGGTTCCACATGCAGTTTACAATGGATACGCGCTGTGATACACCTGCAATACTCTTAAACAAGTACATATTCCTACAAATGCACATTTTGAAAGCCATTTTGGGTTAAAATTTCTTCTTGAGTGTCGACACGCCGGATAAAGTACCGGTATATAAAAAAATATTTACGGTTAAAACTATAGTTCCTCGAAAATCTCAATACTGCACTTTGCCCCTCTACTTCGTCTCAGGGCACAGTACAGTCTTAAGAACACCTTGGGCAACATTTTTAACTGGACCCCTCAAATGAATTAATATTTATATATAACGAGGGGTAAGTGACACAAAGACGTAACTCCATTTTGAGAAAAAATGGTTTATGTGACACTGAGCACTTGGGCCTTAAGGAGTATTAAGTCTATGTTCCACTAGCCATCGACTTCAATGGGGTGTTAGGTGGAGATGAGTCTTTGTGTTTCATGGAAAGCCCACATTTTTCAGAATATTTTGATATCAAATACTCATTTTGGCAAAATATAAAGTTACGTCTTTGTGTCACTGAACCCTTGATATTATTTCTTGTTCTTACCTTAGCCCAATGTGGTCGACCCCCTGCCCTTATTACAATGTCCTCATACACAGCCCAGTATTTCTTGTTCCATGTTGTTCTTCCATAAGGTCTGATAACAAAAGAAGACAAAAAGAAAGGTTACACATGCATGTAGGATGGGAGCTCTATTTTTGCACACATAGAATTTGACTTGAAATTGGCAAGGATTTTCTTTTACATTCCTCAAATGCTAAATCTGAAAGAGTGCCTCAACTGGCTTGCTTCGAATCATCTGATCATCGCGTCCAGTCGAGTGGTTGCGTTACACGACATTTCGCGATACGAAAACGGCAGATCATGTAAAGAGGCCGAGATCAACCATTCATCATGCAAAGCTCAGGCAAGCAGTAAAATCCAAACCCAAGACTCTTTGGTGCCAAGGTCTTGCCCTAAAACTCAAGGCTCGGATCGGCCTTCATATCCACCCCCGAACCCACAAACATGATTGACCCAACAATCTTCATTTGAGAAGGATGATCAATTGGCTTAACCCTTCCAAGATTATATTTAGGGCTAAATTAATCACATATTGTTCCTCAAATTGGCTACAATAATATTTCTCTTGTATAGCTACATTGCTCAAACAACAATACCTTTATGTGTAATCTCTGATAACATTAAGCATTAACAAGAAAGTTGTTGAAATGTTGGAAAAATTGCCAATTTTGATAGAAAAACATTGATTTGAATCTCTCAACGTGTTGCCAAATTAAGGATTGTAAAGTTTATTTTCCTTTTTAAAATACCTAGCGTCAAAACACAGCATAGTCATGAAACTAAAATGGATGTTGTGTGTGCAGAATTGTTTGCCCTTTCTTCTTGAATATGTGGCATATTTGTTAGGGCTATGAATCAGAAGTTATTGAGCCAAACCACATAATGTGGAATGATAGTTGCAAAAGGGTTCAATTCAATTCGTTTTTATTTCATTTCCAACAGAAAGATAGACAAAGGCAGCGCGTAACAGCTGCACTACTAAAGCCATCATATGCTGCATTATTGTAGAGCGCTTAGAGACTTCTGATAAAGTAAGTGTTAGGCGCTATATAAGCACTAAAATTATTATTACAGATATTATTACAGAGTATTAAGTATATATTCATTTTTTCTTGGTAACTATACAAATACACTTTACACATACCGGTAATAAAATTATTACAAGAAATTCAGAAAATGGGGGGATCCACCTTTTGAATTCATGAATGATATTATGCAGTTGTGAGTCGGTCAAAGGAGGTGCACACCCTCTTATTTGTTGTTTGTTTGATCTTATGTTTGATCCTATGTTTGACCTCATGTATGTTTGATCTCACTCTTGTTTTTATTATTATATATGCATGATTTATTGAATAAAGAACAGATGTATAAGTTGTGTGTTTATTATAAGTTTTAGTAAATAATTTTTTAGTCAGACTATGGTGCGCTTAGAGACACCAGTATTAAGCGCCTAATAAATATTGTGTATTATTATTATTATCCACTAAAAAGCAGTGCTTGTAGTTTGTGGATCCCCCCCAAAAAAATTAATTGTTTCAATACACTGCATACCTAAAATGAATGATGTTGATGTAGCAGGTCTCTCTTCCACTGGCCGGGCTAAGCATGATGTCATCCGCCTTGGTGAATCGGACCTCTGTCGGCAAGTGAGCGTAGAATCGTCCAGTATCGACGTGATGCCTCAGCTCTCTAAGAACCTCCCCCGTCTTGTTTCTGGGGTGCAATCAAGAGAGAAGACAAGGATAAACTAGACTGATTATTTACTCGCAGACAGCAGACAAACAACAAATGAGTATTATGTTTGTCTTTTCTGAATACCAAACCATTTAGAAAGTAAACAGGTTTCCTTGCATAATTTGAATACTAGGACACTGCTAATGTTTAAATTTCACAGATAGGACATACGTAACATAGTCATAATTCCTGCAAAGTTCTACAGAATTTGATGTTGGCTGCAAATGGGACATAGTACCTTTAAACGGGCATTCAAATTCGTTTACATACAATCCAAAGAAGACTATCAGTCTTGCCAATTCATTCCCCAGTCAATCACATGCTTTGAAGAAACAGTCCCTCCCCTCAAAAAAACAAAAAGAAACTAACAAATTTAACATTGGGAATACATAAATTGGAAAATAAATAATTCAATCAATAACTCAATTATTCAATTAATCCATAAATGAACCAATAAATTGATTAATCACTCAATAATTTTTTTTTTTTAATCCACAAAAAATTTCAACTCCCAAATAGTACTCTCATATAGTACTTCTACTCCCAAATAGTACTCCCAAATGGTACTTTTTCAGAGCAACCTTAAAATAGTTGAAATAATTCTTGGCACGTGACGAGCTCTCAACCAATCAAAAACCAATACATTTTTTATGCAGGATATTTTTTTTAAAATATCGGTGTTGCCAAGTTACAAATGGAAAACTGAACGATCAAAAATATTATCTTGGAATAGCCCAATCTGTCACGTGTTGCATGAAGAGACAATTAGTGTTTGAAATAATTCTTGTCAAGTGACGAGCTCTCAACCAATCAAAAACCAAATTTTTTCAATGCAGGATATAAAAAAAAATATTGGTGTTGCCAATTTACAAATAGAAAACTGAACGATCAAAAAGATTACCTTGGAATAGCCCATTCTGTCACGTGTTGCTTGAAGAGACAATCAAAGTTGAATACCTTGTGACCGATGTCAACCCTTTCTTTCGGTAGCGATGCGAAGATTAAGAAATATAATCTGTTGATCCATGGAACAAGAGAAGGTACGAACTCACTGAAATGGAGAGAAAAAAAGAAATGAATGAAAAAGAAAGAAATGAATCATCTTTATTGGCATGATCAAGATCAATATAGCCCTGTGTGGACACGATGCAGTGAAAACCATCAACAAAAGAACAAACAGAGGAAGCGCGATAGCTCAGTCGGTAGAGCAGTAATCTGGTGACCCGGGTTCGAAACCAAGGCGATGCGCTAGTGCCCTTTGGTAAGGCATTAATCCACCTTACCAGGTCCCTCAGAGAGGACCTAAAGCCGTCCGCCGTCTGGTTGCTTACTTACAAGCATTTATGCTTTCTTGGCAGTCGGGTAAAATAACAACCACCACCACCACCACCAACAAAAGCACCTGCTGCAGAATATGAGTGAATTGGGACTTTTAGATTTACACGACGAGAACGTGGACCGCCACGTGTGACATCCTTTTAAGGTAATGTGACGTCCTTTTAAGGCACTGCCGGGCACAGCCCAGTGCCTTAACACAATGTCAGACGTGGCAGTCCACGCTCTCGTCGTGTAAATCTAAATGTCCCTAATGAATAACATGAGGCACTTTTGTGAAGGTGTACACACACAAAAAATAACTGTGTGTACCCATGATTCCTTAAAGGGACATGGTAACATTGTTCAGATGAGAGAAAATGGTGCAAAGGCAATGACTTCAATCCTAGATGTACAATTAAAGATAATCTGAAATTTTGAGTGAAAACAGACCATTATTATTGATAATGATAATAACAATTGGGAAAAACCGATCTGATCGATTCCTAAATTCTCCCAGGTATATTATTATAATGAAGTTAAATTTTAGGTGAATGTAAATTGTCACAAAGCAATGAATTGGCTCTTTATACCATTCCAAACATGTAAGTGTTGAAGATTTTAAAAGGCCTGTTTTATGTCATTTTCATGGAAAACGGTTGGGATAATTCAAAAAATTGGTTGGGAGAATTTACTGTCAGAGGGAGTTACACATTGACGCCTTTAAAGAAAAACATAAATATCTTTGTGGTTTGAGAATTATTTCAGGATTTTTTGCATGTTAGAGGATCAGTACAGTAGCAGAAATATAATAAGTAACATTTCATACAAAAATTAGGCAGTTTTTTTCATCAACCTTCAACAATATTACCGGTTCATTTTAACATGCCCGGTGACCTTTGTGTTATGAATGACATAAAAATGTGAATCATTTTGTTTTGAAGTGGAAATATTTAGCTTCTGGATTTTTTCTTTGGATGCTTTCTTCGCGTCTGCTAGGTCAATCATTTGCCACCAATTGATGAAAGGATTGCTTTGTGCACACAATGACTTTGTCTTCATCTTGTAATATAAAATGCCACAATGAGATCTTCTACTAAAGGCTTCAGAAAGTTAAGAAAATTAGGATTTTGATTAAACATAAATCAAAAACTCCATCTGATCTGAAAACTTACACCTCAGATTAACTTCTTTTCGAGCATCAGGCTTTAATTGGAATGATGCCTAAGATCTGTGGGACAACATGAATGCCGTAAACTATAGATATATAGGAACTAGAAAAAGAATCATAACTTTTAGTAAATTACCTGACCCAAAATGAGAACTCAAGAGCGTAGTAACCCACGAACTTGTCCCAAAACCATGACGATGTCCTTTCTGTGATTCTCTTCTCGGTTCGGTTGACCTTTGACACCATGACCATATCTGTGTGGGGATACCACATAAAACGGAAATGCTCACAGCTCTCCACATTGGAATCCAAATTATCTAGGACCTGTTTAAAGGAAATGTCAGAAAAAACATCACTGATTATCAATACTACTTGTATTTTAGATGCTGCTTGTAAGTATCTGCTTGCATGGTGATGTAGATATACAGTAGGCTTGCGGATGCACCATGTGAGAGAGAGAGAGGGAGGATTGAGGAGTCCTGAAAAGGACTCTCTGTAATCTTTTTTGAGGGTGTGTAGTCCTGAAAAGGACTGTTGGTGTAGTCTTGAAAAAGACTGTTGGTTATCTTTCTTAGCTTATAGTTCTAAGGAGAACTATAGCGCTTGGAAAGGATGGGTGGCGGGAGTGGCTCATAACGCTCAATCTTCCCTCTCTCTCACATGGTGCATATGCAAGCCTACTGTATTCTTGTATTTTACATGTCACAAATGGTAAAACCAATAAGGAAACATTTCTATATATTTTTCTACTCAGATTCAAGATTATAATCTTGAAAATTCCCACTTCCTCTCCTCATTCAACATTATCCTCACTAAGGGCATCATCATCATAGCTGTCATCACCATCACGATTACCATTTTCATCATCATCATCAAAATCCTCCACCTCAATTTCCCTTATCCCCATAATCATCAGGAACATTATCATCAGCATTCTTAATAATCGCTATAACAATCAGCATCATCACCACCACTATCATTATCCATATCATTAAATCACCATCATAGCCATCATGATCACCAATACCATCATCATCCTCCTCACCATGTTGTTTAGGTCTAACCGTCATCGTCACCGTCATCATCATATTACTACCAACATATCACCATCAGCATCACCATCATCGTAACTTACATCATCCAATGTGGTAGAAGTCTGAATCTCATGAAGCCTGAAGGCTGGTTCACACTGGATAGTTACTGTGAGAATAATACCAAGTGCTCCTAACCCGCATAATGCAGCGTTGAAAACGTCTGGGTTCTCAGAGTCTGAACAAGGCAGGACTTCTCCGCTTCCGGTCAACAGCTCCAAACTGACAATCTAACAGAAGTAGAAAATGAGGTGTATTACTTCTAAGACAGCTTGAAGGGACCTTTCATTAATACTGAAGTAGGTTTGAATCAATTACATCAGGAAATGACATACAAAGAGTTACCTAACTTCTACAACAATTTACTTTGCTTCAAAGAATTTTGTAAAGATACACTCTTACTTGATAAAGGAATCGTGCCTCATTTTCATATTTGTTTCCCTCTCCAACATTCTAATCAAATGGTGAGCATAACACCAGGCCTTTAGGCAAAGGAAAACTGTTGACATAGCTGTAATTTTCTTCTGTTGTCATCAAAAGCAAAAGTATAATTTCACAATAAGATAAAGTCTATAACATTTTCCTATCCCCCCTAAAAAAACACATGCACACCTTACTCCTTGTAATAATAATCTTACAATGAATGACATTATCACCACACCATTCAATACAAATCTAAACAATATACAATTCAATATACTGCTACAGTACACTACAGTACACTACAGTACATAATTCAATAATCCAGGGGATTTATATGATTCTGGAAATCAATTGTGCCCGGAAATCTGTAAGTGGTTTCCTCATTGTTTACCGTTGTTGCCATGATACCGTGATCGTATCCCGTCCCGTGGGTACCGGTTGAAATAGCGCCAGCTATAGTTTGCTCAGAGATAGCTCCAAGTCTGTGGGATGCAGGCAAAAGAAAAAAGAAAGAAAATAAGAACTCTTAGAGCAAGAAATGGGAAAGGTAATTTATGTGTCTTCCTCTAAATCTATGTTGATTCTTGGTAGATCGTTTAGTACCTCACCAAGTGTTTTGAACGTCACATCTGGGACCCGTTTCACAAAGCCTTTTTTTCAATGACAGATGAAAAATACCAGTGACAAATCTGCTGATAACCAATCAGAGGCAAGGATTTCAGTAGCTTTTAACAAAAATTGTCATTTGTCACTGATGACAAGTTCTGTGAAACACCCCCCTGGTGTAAGGAGAACATCACCTCATCTATTTTATTATTTATTTATTTTATTTTTTAATTAATTTGAACTTCAAAATCAAAACAATTTATGGCACTCTAGCATTTCAAGGATTAATTCTGCCAGGCACCCATTTACTTCACTTGGGTCGAGTGTGGCGAATGCAGATTGATGTATTGCCGAAGGGATTTAGTGCCGCGGCAGGACTCAAACCGCAAATCATGAGATCCACAGTCCGGTGATATCCACTAGACCATGACACCTCAACATGAAAGGGGTACTGTAGATGGGCAGGTCCAAGCTATTTGGATTGTGACGTACGGGACATTCAGAGACTTTAAACAAGAAATAACAATGGATGAAATTATTTATATGGCTATCTTTTGGTATGAGTCTGTGGCTATTATGGGCTAGTTCATTTGTGGAAAGTTTTAGTTCTGACCAATTCATAAATTAATTTTTAATGTAATTAATGTGCTGCGTGACGTACGGGACCAGAGAATTTCTGACTTTTTCAAAAATCAGTTCGTCGTATAAATTCTCTGAATTTATTAAGTTATGAGATTTATGGTAGTGATATCTTAATTCATTATGGAATCAAGCATTGATCACAACTATAACCATATTTTTCTGACCTTCCGTTGTTATGTAATATACCAAAACATAAATGTGTGTATGTGACGTACTGGACACGTGACGTACGGGACAACTTTTCCCTATGGGAAAATGCATTGAAATGAAGAATTTTCGTCAAAATTTGTTAAATATGAACAATTTTAACTTAAATCAGTGACAATTAGAGTGTTTTAGAACCCAATTAGATCCTCTGACCATCACTCAATATCCTCTGTGTTAATTTATAAGGTAAATCAATACAAATATTAATAAAGAAAACAAATTAAATTACATTCATACACACACACTATATTACCATTTTTTATTCCATTTACCCTTCTATTATGTGCAGTCATGCTTCTTTTCTCATTTCTTTCATCCATTCCATTCAACAGTGCTACATGTACATGTAAATGTTTTAAAATAATAATTAATGAAGAAGATGAACTTGAACTTGAAAACTTTCATTAAAACTTGTTTGAAAGACAGGGGCACACTCGGCACATCATATTTTGTGAACAAAGATACAGTACATTACAAATATGAAATCTTTTCTTCATAGCTTGTTTGAATTACTTGATAGTAATATCATAGAATTTTGAAGGAATCTTTTTATCACAGATTAGAACATGTACATGTATATGTTGCTGTCATATATTCAAGAATTTTAATGTACCGGTACATTAATGTACATGTTTGTGAAAGATGGATACAGAAATATAAATCTTGAATGTATTTTGTATTGATTAAAGACATCTTATTAACACCACCAGATATAATAAATTAAAACCCTAAAGGTTTGTGTGACCTTTTCCACAATTCAACAAAAATGCATGGGTGTAAAAGTGATAAAAATTCTAAGTGGGTGAGAGTGAGAGAGGCTGTCCTTCCTTAAAAGTTATGATTTAGTTTTTAGGAGATCAAAATTCCTGAGCTGGCTCCATAACATGTACATGACTGTACTATTATGATTTACATATTTAGCATCCTGCCAATGTTGGGGACATCAACTGGCAAAATACCAAAGTTGATAATACCAGGGGTCTGGCTTGAAGACTAATTACATCAATAAATATTCATAATTGAATGACACATGCCTTTAAGACTAAAACAATAACAACAACAACAGTACAAGTAAATTCCTAGAAGGGAACCAGTTGGAATGTTCATATATCCCTGTATACAACAAGTTTCCTAACACATATATATTCTCCTTTTGGTCATTTCCTTTTTTCACATCTTGCATTGGTTTTATATGGGGTTGTCCCGTACGTCACACACTTGTCCCGTACGTCACATTTCTTAATTTGATTATGTAATCAACACAGAATTTTCGTAATTTTTGTTAAACCTATTTTTTGTTAGGTATTCATCTAAATTAGAACTTCCTAGAATATCTTTTAAAAAAAAAATTATTTTCATAATTAAAATTAAACAAATTAATGTCAAATTGTGACGTACGGGACATCACACTTTGGAACCTACCTCATTTGCATAATTAATTAATTTTGAAAGTTTTTATATTTTTTTCCTATTTTCTAGTATGATGGTCTACATGTCCTAAAATATTTAATTTTGAAAAAATAATTCAAATGAGATACAAAAATAAAAATGTAATGTCCCGTACGTCACGCTAATTAACACAAATCAAAGTTCGTGACCTTGGCATTCTTCGTATTTTGATAATTTTTAATTTTTTTTATCAGATTTATAAAATTCATAGTTTCAGCTTTAAAATGATGTATAGTTTCTTGAATATATATAAAGATAAAATTTGACCCCCAAAGGGGACAATAGCTTGGACCTGCCCAGATGGAGAACCTTTTGTGACATGAACTTTCACAAAGTGTAAAAAAAAAACATAGTTGTGTTTTTATTTATTTCATGGCATGGCATGGCAGGTGGAGGATGCTGGAGAGAAGAAATATAGAGTGTCATCACGGTGTGAAAGTCAGTAACCCCTCATAACAGGTGAAATTGCCGACTTTAAAGGGATTGGGTAACTTTGTCTCAGATTCTAAAACAAAATCCCAGATTTAGCTCATGATGCAATGATAATTATGAACCTTTAGTGAGAAAATTACTATACAATGTGGGGAAATGGATGGGGAAATGCTAAGCATTATATAAGGCCTATTTTTCATGGAACTTAAGACTAATCTTGGTAATTGCCAACACCTGTTATTGGGTAAACACCCGAACGGTATTGAATTCCCCATGAGAGACCTCTCCTATGCAGGCACGTAGCCCGGGGGGGGGGGGGGGGGGGGGGGAGCACATGCCCCCCAAAAATTCACAGATCAGTTAAAATTTTGTTATTATGAAAACAAAAGCCTTATACTATTTACTTCACACATTCTTCATAACTTTATTTTATTATGCCTTCAACTTCATTTAACCTATATCATATTAAGCAGCCATTTTTTTCAGAATTTCTGATAACTGAAACATTCCAAAAGTAAACATAATAGCCTGTGTAGATGAATCTGCCGACTAAGGTCGTCGCGCATGAGGTCAAGCTCGGGACAAATATAATGCGTTTATTGTTTTGACTATATGCGCGTAAGTTGAAGTTGTATAAATGTATATTTTTCAATGTGTACAGTGCAGTATCTATAGATACACAGTACATTAATTAGGATTTATGATTGGCCACCATTATTGACTACGCTAGATTACCTACACTGCTCTGATAACTATTTTATTATTACAATGAAAAATGTCTCTTTTTAAATTTGGATTCACGAGTCAGGCTAAATCAGGAGCGGAATTTAGTGACAGTAAATCACGCAAATCGGAGGAATTTCGAGAGGAACATGAGGAATTGAATGAGGGAGGTCTGCGAGAATCATCAGTAACACTGCAACCGGGTCCATCCAGTAGAACAAGTGCTGGATCGTCGAAAAGTGATGTGAAACTGATAAGTGAGGTTGAGAGTAATGATGGGTTGTTGGATTTAGGATCAAAGGATTCTGGACCGAAACAACCAATCCTAGCGTCATTCCCTCAAGTTCAAACAGGTAAGAAAAATCGATCGTTCAACAAAGATTGGATAGATAGATAGATAGATAGATAATTTATTGGTCCATATTCAAAAACATAGAAAATTGGCCTCCACTGGCAGCACATAAACATAATACAAAGTAGTTACAAAATAATTGATATGTCACATAATGTACATAAATTCACACGAGATCATGACATTAACAAAAAGCATAAGTATAAATTACATAGTAATAGGGAAAACTTCAGAAAGAAGTCGACATTCAAAGATTGAGAAGTGAGAAAAAAGTCGTAAGGAGACTGAGGAGCAAAAATAGTAATAAGAGAGAGAGGGGAGAGGGGAAAGAGACAGAGAGGGAGGGGAGAGATAGAGAGATAGAGAGATAGAGGGAGAGAGAGAGAAAGATAGGAACAAGAGGTGGATGTAAGGAGAGAAGAGGGTATAAATAGAGGGAGGGAAAAGAAAAGGAAAGGAAGGGGGACGAGTTATACACGACACAACTGTCTATCTGAGAGGTAATAGACCAGTTTCGCAGTGTATCCACGTTGAATGCGCAGGTCCCCGCGAAGTGCGCGGACACGAATGACTCCTCCCACCCGCCAGGAACAATCGTATTCCAACAGGCAGAATGCAAGTTGCACACGAAAGACGCTACCAGGCTGGCAATACATTAGAGCTCGCCCAACCTAGCAACAACCAACGTACGCAACTCACACCCTGCCCACCAAAACACAACCACTCCCAACGGTGAATGGAGGCACCCCGACAAAGACCCACGCACCCAACCCGAACCCACTGCGAAACTGGTCCACTATGTTGCACATTTTAAAAAACCGGCTTTATGGTACTAATTATGCTTAAAAACAGAGCAGAGGCAAGATTGAACGGTGGGTCAATTGGCAGGTGTTAGAGTTACAAGGAAAATAAAAATATATAACTGGCTAACTGGCTGGCAAGAGACTTTCAAAAGGGTCATCGCTTGACATTAGCATTGAACATATGAATGACATTCGGTACAAAGGATTGTCTGTAACGACAGCGGTTGCTCCTCGGTACGCGTAGGCGAATACCTGAGCGATTGAATCCAAAGAAATGATGTAATGGATGTGATGGGTCATTCATTATTGTGTGAACTTTAAGTAACATACGTTGTTCATACACAGTACTGATAGGGGGAAGATCTGAATAAACTAACCGCTGGGCAATTTTCCTGGGTTTAACTTAACTTTCTCCGATTTTGTTTTGAAAGATTACCAAAAGTGCACAAAAAATTGAATGTCAGGATACTCTGTATAAGAGATTGGTAGAAGAGAACTAGAATCCTATTATCCACATGAAATTCCTTTAGTTTCCTTAGAAAGTATAACCTTTGACTTGCCTTGCCTGCTACGATTTGGGTGTTCCTATTCCAGTTAAGTTTATTATCAACAGTTGTTCCCAAGTACTTATATTCAGAAACTCGCTCAATGCTTTGATCATGGATAACCAACGAGTCAAGAGGCTGAGAGGAACGACGAAAGTCAAATACCATTTCCTTGGTCTTTTTTACGTTAAGAACTAGATGGTGCCGATCGCACCAGTTTACAAATTGATCAACTTCTCTAACATATGGGCTGGAATCTCCTTGAAGGAAACCAGTTATCACAGTGTCGTCTGCGTACTTAATTATTGAACAATTATTATTGGTGATGGTATAGTCACTAATATAGAGCGAGAAGAGAATTGGTGAAATTACACAGCCTTGAGGAGCACCTAGATTCAGACATTTGATGATAGAGTTCAGATTATTACACTTAACCCATTGTGGTCTGTCTACAAGGAAATTATGGATAATCCTAAACTAGACATGGTTTGACATTCATATTAAGTAGCTTATCTATCAGTATGTAAGGAACAATCGTATTAAAGGCACTTGAGAAATCTATGAACACAGACCTAACGTAAGACCTAGGAGTATCCAAATGTTGATACAGACCCTGTAAAAAAACAAGTACTGCGTCTTCTACACCTCTATTGTTCTGATATGCAAATTGAGTCTTGTCGAAAATATTAACCTGATGGTTTCTAAGGTGTTTTAACAATAACCGTTCAAAACATTTCATAGGATTGCATGTAAGGGCTACTGGTCTATACTGATTCAGTTCACTAGGGTTTTTCATCTTAGGAACTGGAATAATAATCGAGGATTTCCAAAGACAAGGGATCCTACCAGCATTCATGATCAATTGGTAAATACGTGTAAAAACATAGGCAAGTTGTTGACTACATATGTTCAAAACCTTATTAGAAATGTGGTCTGGACCAGATGCTTTGTTTACATTTGTCTTCGCAAATATATTTCGAACTTCATGTTCACTAAAGACAATTACCTCATTTGAATCAATTACAATATTTGACAGCCTATCTATTATTACATCATTCTCTGTAGAAAAGTCATGAACATCGAATCGGGCATAGAATTCACTAAGACTATCAATAAAATCCTGTTTACAAACCATTACTCTCCTATTAGTGTCCTTATAACCGGTCATTGTTTGCATTTGCTGCCATGCAGCTCGTGAGTTGTTTTCATTAAAGTTCCTTTCCAGTTTTCTTTTATACAGCACTTTAGCTTTCGCGACTTGCCGGTTGATTTCTTTCTGTATCTCCTTAACACATGACTTCTCTCCTGAAAGAAAAGCTTCGCGTTTCCGTTTCAATAACACCTTCAGTTCCTGAGTAATCCATGGCTTGTTGTTTGGATATGACTTTTCATCTTTAAGAGGAATCGAAGATTCAACGCAGAAGTTGACGTACTCGGATATAACTGTAGCTGCTTCGTCTATCGACTCAGCTGAATCTACGGAGGTGTCCCAATCTGTGCAATCGAAGCTAGCACGCAGTTCCTCTATGGCTTCGGAGCTCCACACACGCCGTTTCCTGGCAACCGGTTTGCTGCTTTTCAGCTTCTGTCGGTACGACGGGAGGAGAAAAATGTTGTTGTGGTCGGAGTTACCCAACTGTGGACAGGACTTCGATGTGAATGCGTTCGGAATGTTGCAGTAACATAAATCAAGGGTGGCATCGTTACGAGTAGTCTGTTGAACAAATTGATTGTAGGTCGGAAGCACCTCATCCAATTTGCATTGATTAAAGTCACCCAAAATAATCTTAGCTGAATCCAGTGATAGTGCCTCGAGTTCATTGACCTTTGAGGCGATGAATTGACTGGCAATATCAACATTAGCATGTGGCGGAATGTATGCAACTAATACGAAAATCCTGTTAATCTCCCTCGGCAAGTAAAAAGGTCGAAGCCCAACAACTAGTAGTTCGTAGTCGGGTGTACAAAACTTCTCTCTCACAGTCCAGTTATTGCACCACTTATGATTAACAAAGACACAAACACCACCTCCACAGGATTTACCTGATTCTGAAGTTCTGTCCCCTCTTATAATCTCGTAATCTCCAATGTCTATGGCGCTGTCCGGGATATTCTCGTGGAGCCATGTTTCCGTAAAGCACAGAAGGCACGATTCTCTATACTCATGAAGAAAACGTATATTTGCACGGAGTTCGTCAATTTTGTTGGGTAGGGATCTGACATTACCAAAAACGATAGAAGGCAACGGTGGTTTAAATCCTCGTTTCCTCACTCGCTGTCGAACCCCACCTTTCTTTCCTCTTTTCCGTGGTAGAATTTCGCACGGGAAATCGGCGAAACCACGTGGTTTGCTACCCGGGGCCTGGGCGGGCCGGTAGCTCAACAGTTCGGTACGCGTGTAAGTAATGGAACCTTGAGCATGTTGGGCGTGGTCCTGACAGTGAACATTCGTAAAAAGCCGTGAAATTAGTAGAATTGTTAAAAATATCCGGATCAGTAATGAAGAAACACATGTAGAAGGCATGATGACACGATGACAATAGCGAAAAACAGACAAAAGTACGACGAAATCAGGAAAAATAAACCGAAAAGATGAGAACATAAAAAAAACAGTGGTGGTCGCCACAGTGCAGCGCCCTCAAAGCATGGTACAACGTAATCAGTGATGCTGCCTTCTGCTATTCTTGCCAGATTTTTCCGTCAATATCCGGTCACAAAGAACACAATTTCACTGGAAATGGGATAAATCAATGGAGGAAAGCTACCGAGAAATTTAGGAAGCACAGCAAAAGTGAAAGCCACAAGACTTCTTTTTCGAGATGGCAGCACTACCTTTAAAGTCTGAGTGAAGGCAGCATTGCTTCCAAAATATCCAGACAATACTCGCGAGTAGTGAAGGAAAACTGGGCATACACAACCCAGATTTCCAAAAATAATCATTTTCCTCGTAAGACAGGGAATAGCATTGAGGGTTAATAACGAGAGTGTGGACTCACTTAATCGGGGGAACGTTTAAGAACTGTGTTCTCTGATCGCTGATGCCAATCCTGCTTTTGGTGAAAGAATCAAAGCGATGCCTCTCATTAAGCTACTTATCTCAGCGCCGAAATTCAAAATGAGCTCCTGAACGTGACAGCAGAAATAATTCGGGAACAAATTGCGGAGGAGGTGAACTCTGCAGGATTGGCCACAATCATTGTGGATGAGAGTAAAGACGTCTCAATGAAAGAACAAATCAGCATTTGCTTGCGATATGCCGAATACAAAGAAGCAGTGGGACATATCTTGCATGAGGAATTCTTAGACTTTCATGATCCAATGCGTCTTTAATTAATGATGATGATGAACACAGAATCAACTGGGAAGAAAATATCAAGAACTGGATTGGACTAAAACTGCAAGAGTGCACCAGAATGGCAGAAAATAGAGTGAAATGGAGAGATGTTGCAATCAACCTCCGAACTGGGAGATAGATAGATAGAACCTTAATTGCAAGACTCAACCACATGCAAAATTCACAAACATTTCATAAGTGTGAAAATTGCTGATTGTACATTTAAAATAATACTTACAGACTAAGAGCAAGTCCGTATCTTGGAAGGATATCTGTATTCAGCTTCTCCAGTAGGACACCGGCTTCTACTCGAATCTGATGTTTATCAACATCAACCTGTGGGAGAAAAGTCATTCAATTCAATTTCTTTTAAACCCAAGCAATTAAAAAATACCATACATATGTACATAGAATTATATGCAGTACATTATACTTAAAGTGACTTGGTAACATTGTTGAAGGTTGATGAAAAAACTTTGGGGTTTTCTTTCTCAAAATGTTTGCTCGGCACGTTTTCCAAGACCTCCAGCCGAGCTATTTTTCAAGATGGCCTCAAAATATAAGCAGACAGGGACTCTAATTACCATAATTAACGGTGTATAAACCGCACCTTTTTGCAGCCGAAAAAAATTAAAAGTCGGGGGTGCGGTTTATACACATTTTTTTTAAAGATTCGATTTATGCCCCTCCACCTGGCGCTATGCCTGGCAATGTCTCCCAGCTCAGTAATGGATGTGTTGACTCACCACTCGGAAACTAGAACAACAATCAAATTTGTCTGTCATCTTGGTTTGAAAGTAATCTTTCCGATAGATCTCAATATGTAGTTTATAATAATGATTCCTCAAATTTTTCTTCTATTACACGGCGTACCACAAGGTTCTATCCTAGGTCCTCTACTGTTTTTTAATTTACATTAATGATCTTACACATTCAGCTGCACCTCGCAGTTAAATGAAAGGCCTTCCCGCGTGGGTTTATTTATTATGGACCTGGCTTGCTGCCGACAAAGTCGGCCAAAAAAAGAGGGGTGAGGTTAATACACGAGGGCGGTTTATACACCGTTAATTATGGTATGATGATTTTTTTTTTTTTTTTTTTTTTTTTTTTTTAATTTTTTTTCTTTCCTTTTCCGCCTAAATTTTGAATTTATAGAACACAAATTGTTTATTTTGAGAGAATACAAGAGAATTGACAGGGACCTTTCTTTGCTGCTTACCGATAGAACTTTGTTGATGTGTTTCATGTTGATCATGTATCCAGTCGTACATGCAATGTCAGAAGGGGAATGCCTGCTGCCACATACCTTCACCCTTTTGCCTTCTGTGCGTGCTCGCTCAACAATCTACAAACAAACAAATGAGAAAGAGCTATGTTTGATGTAAAATGGTGCCTGACCAGAATACTCCCCAGGGAACGGAACGTGTGCACTATCATGTGCAGATTAACAATTGAATCTAATGACCAAGTAAACAATAATTATAATGTAAAGTGCTTTATAGAAACGTAGTAAAAATGAGAAAGAGCTGTGTTTGATGTGATTTGATTTGATAGTTTGATTGATTTATTGATTTATTGTAAAATGGCACCTGGCCAGAATACTACCCAAGGAGCAGAGCAAGTACACTATCATGTGCAGATTTACAACTGAATCCAATGGCCAAGGTCATACTAATTATAAAAACGTAGTATTAAGCACTTACTATTATTGATTGACTGCTAAATCATCTTTCAAACATTTTATTCATAGATCATCTTTTCTCCATGATAATGATAGCTTCACAATGACTAAGATTGACTTTAAATTGGACTTACCAGTAACTATGGCAGGCTGTTCATGCCACTGTTTGCTCTCACCATTTACTGGCATTGGTCTCTCAAGGGATGAACAAATCATGGTCACAAATCTAGACTACAGAATTTACATATTTTGATAATTCATTATTGAAGGAAAACAAATTATCTAAAGATCATAATGGTGAGAGCAACCAGTGGCATAAATAACCTGCCATAGTTACATGTAAGTCCAAGTTATAGTCTGTATGAAACACCCCCAAGGATCACTACAATGTACATGCACGTGACTCGGCACTCTGAATTTACAGAGGCAGTTGAACAGGTGTGCCTTTGTACCAAATTACAAATTTGCACGCTCAGTCATGCGGTGATTCCATTTCCGTAATGTAAACAAATTTATTGCATGTGTCTTTGTGAACTGCCTTGAAATGAATTATTTCATCCACCTGTTGCGAATAATTGTATTTCAATAGTCAGAATGCGAATTGCATGCACATTATCTTTTGCATAGTCTGCTCCATACGATAGGATGGCTAGAGTGTATAACACTATGAACATGACTGACAAAAAAGCGGACAAAATATACAGTTCCTCGGGTAGACAAATGAACATCCCTTCACTGCTATTGTGCAAAAATGTGTAGAACAGGTGTCACATGCATATTCACCTGTTCTACACCTTTTTACACAAAAGCAGTGAAGGGATGTTCGTTTATCTACCTGAGGAACTGTATATTTTGTCCGCTTTCTTTGTCAGTCATATTCATAGTGTAAGCATAAAGCTTGATATGCTTCATTACTCTTTAGTTTTAGTGGATAAACTGACCTGGGTAAGTTCTGCTGTGTCCTGTGGTTCAAAGTAGAGCTCAGGCTTGCAGAAGAATGTCTCGGCCCAGTTTCGAAAGATGTAGCCCTCCATGGTAGTTTCAATCTGAATGGTAAATGAAGAAAAAATGCCAGATCTTTTTCATTCCATCTCCTCATTGTTCATACATACATGTATATTGCCCAATGTTCAAAGGAAGTCCCGTGCCTAGGCTGGTAAAAAGTTGTCATTTAACCAATTAGTCAAACGCAAGTTACTTTAATATCAATTGCAAGTTTGCAGTCTCCTAGTCCTATCTCTTGCGTACATGTACATAGCATATCTGCCAACAATTGAAAATAAGAATTAGGAATTTTTAGCACGATATACGTTCAAAATCAAGAAATCGCACTTGAAGCGGCAGTGTAACTGGCAATACGCGGTAATTCGGTACCAAAAAACGAGCACAAGCTTGCTGCTCGATCATGCAGCCTTTCAATGTACAAAATATGTGAACTCTCAAATTGCGGCACATGACAAAACAAGCTCACTTTAGCTTTAGCACCCATAAATTATTTTCTTATTTTTTTTATAAGATAGGGTCTAGGCTACAGAAATTACCAAAAAGCTGCCTCTTTCGGAGCCAAAAGTCCTACTTCTTTTGAACTTTAAAGGCAACCTAAACCCAAATAATAAGTGTAGGTATTCTGAAAAATGAGATGTATTCCTGCCCTTTGATGTACAATATTCCTTACGAAAATGTACAAGATATATTATAAATGAAGATATTCTTTGCATGATGTGATGCCTTTCAGCATAACATGGGCGCAGCCATTTTCTTGAAAATGTGACGTACCTGTTAAAGTTGTACATGTATCAGGCACCAAGCTTTAGTTGGAAAGAAGGTTTAAATCAATAACGAAACCTTTACTTTTCGATAAACAAAAATAATAAATGAGATGATAGAAATTATATTAGGTGAAAAATAAATAACAGGGACACAATTGTAGCAAAATTAATTTATAAATACTACACTATATCAGTTGAAAAATCCATTTCATTTATGAGAAATCTTCACCCCAGAAGAGCACTTAGTTATGCAATTTGCGTTCTGGCAATTATAGTTCAAAGGATAATAGCAGGTGAATGAAATGCTTCATCACCACACACGTCTGGGAAGATTGATAACGACTTCGCGTAGTACGTCAAATTATCAATTATCGAAACAACGTCTCCTCCTCCGAGTCCTCTCTCACTTCCTTTTAAGGTTCTTTCTTTTCCCCTCATCACAAAGTCCCTCAGGGACTGTACTTTAATGTAAGCCCTTTTAGAAGTCAGACGAAAACACACAATTAACTCCTCCTCCTCCTCCATGAGACATCATGCCATGGTCATGGCAATGATTGCTGGCCAGCCTGCAGCCTGGGGCCCGTTCCTAAAAACTGTCATAAGTCTAACTTCTTGACTAAATCAGCGTTAGTGAGTTACATGTACATGTAGATGTCCAATACATGTTTCACGAAGCCCTCTTTGCCAAGATCAACGACAACATCCTGACTAAGTAGTTGTGACGCCTCTGACACCGTCGTATCTCTGTCATAACTTTTTAGTCGATGGGCAGCGCCATCACATGTCATTTATTGGGTAGACTATGGCTGGCAAAATAGGACAATAAATCCTCCAACTATGATTTTTCTACACATTCACTTAAACAGTGAGTTATCATTTTTTGTATTTAAAGGCACACTGTCCTACTTGTAGCTACTTGCTCCCTCTATATATAGAAAACTTTCCCAATCGGTGCCTGTTGGTCCCCCATGATCCTCTTTTTCTTATGTTAAATGAGAGCTGAGTTAATGAGATAGCCACCTGTCACACTGACCTCGCTGGCTCACTGGGTGGTCTAATCCTTTCTAGCTGAAGTAGTAAAGCCTGCCTTTAATAATCTTATAAAATTGTTTATATGTAAGGATTTTCCCACTTAAATAAACTGATTATACACCTTTATTTCCACATTGTAAAATCCTCGAAGGGATGGGTAATCTGCCATGGCAGGCAAGCCATAGTTTGAAGCATATTCTTTAGTTTTCAGACCCATATTGGCTGCTTTCGAGATAAATTCTATCTTTAAATGTGTACATTGTAAAATGAATAGTTTAAAACATGTGTTTTAACCTTTGGAATGTTGAAGTTTTGTCATTTAAATAATTTACTGATGCCGAGACATTGGAAAAAACTTTCAAAACATTGTATTTTTACTAAGAATAATTTAAGGGTGTATTTTTATAAACTATCAAATGAAAATATCAGGGGAGGAACCATCTCCAGAACAAAAATGATTCACCGATCATGTAAAGAAACACAATTCTATTTTACAAGTAGACTCTAGAAGGTCTACTTCTAATGTCTAATCTACACAAATTTGGAATCATATTGCATCTCTTATTTCTTGGTATCATTTTCAATCTTTTTTATTACTAATTCATTTAAATAATTGCATTTTCCCTAGATCTAATAGACTATTACTTTTGTAATAATCTGGTGGTATTGCGACTAAAGCTAGGTCTAAGTCAGTGTAGTCTCGGCTCCTCTTCTCGCCGATAGTAATCTAGTAAGCTCTTCATGAAACGGTTTAGGAAGATCACAGACATCTTTGTAGTTGGCGGATAAAGTTATGACTGTCTTGTCGTTGGTTTCTAGGAACGAGCCCCTGTCTCCCAGCTGCACCCAGGCCAGGCTAGATCCAGTCACAGCTCGGGCAGCGGGGAGGGCAGCGGAGCCGGAGCCTTGGCTTGAGCTCCCCGTACCGTGCCGACCACCGCAAATGCACCGGGCATGCATGTGACTAAATAAATACATTTTAAAAAGCATTGGGAAACCGGGAAAATGCTAAACAAAACTCACTTTCAAATATTAAAGCTCTTGCACGTCTTAATGGGATATCCGGATGCAGGTAAAGTGATTCTAAAACCGAACCACGATCAATTGGTAGGCACGAGTAGAAAAGTTGTTTTCTAAACCATGTACCAGCAGCTTCAGTACAGAGCGTGCACGTTAAATAATCATCGAATGCACATCTACTGTAAGTTAGCCTTGAGTGAATGCTTTATGCTTTTGTCTTCTTCTTTTTTTACAAATGAACTTGGAGTCCACAAAAAGTGCCAACATCCCCATACCCATTCCCAACTCTAAAGAGAAAACTGACCAGTTCATATCCGATCATTTGATCATCTAATACTAAAATAATTGATAGACAAAATAATACTTTGTAGTCGAGTTGAACATCTTTAATAAATATCGCCTATATTAAGACTAACCAAATAAGATGATTGCGAAACTCATCCAGCTGGGAATTCCACTGATCTCTACGGAAAAATCGGGGGGGGGGGGGGGGACTGTACCTGATTTACTTCTTTCTTCTTCGCCTTCGGTGGGGAAAAAATGAAAAAGTGAAAATTGACGTGCTGTTAGGTAGGGGTTTCGAGTCTTGAGCGGCTCACCCCCGTTTAAACCAAATCTGAGTACCCATACTACGAATCTTGCTCTCTACGATTGGTCAAAAGGTAATCACATGATGAAACATAGTTTCGCCCATCAAATTGATGGGAGAAGAAAAGTTCGTTTCACTGTAGCCATCTTCAGTGAAAGTGTACTTTCTTCAAGCCCCCCCCCCCCCCCCCCCCCCCCCCCTCTCCGAGAACGGACGGACCCCATCATGTGTTACCAAAATGTCCGGTAAAGGGGTACAGTTTCGTGTGACAAAGTCCGGCCCGAGAATTGTAAAAAAAAGGGGTGTATTAACTTTTCACCCGGGAGATTTCTTTAAAATGAAGGTGTTTTTGTTTTTTTTTCTCTCATCTCTTTGGACTCCGAATTTTTTAAAATGTTTATTCCGAATTTAGGGGGGTGCATTGAGCATTTTTCATGATTTAGGGGGGTCTCCAACGGCAGGGAAAGCCCGCGAAAAGCCCGCGAAAAGGGGGGTTCGGAAATGCTGGCAGTCCTCAGATATAGAGGGTGCTTTCAAAAAGAGGGAACAAGCATATGCGTACCCTAAATAACACTGAGTAGGGGGGCGGGCTTCAAGCCCATCTGCATTAGTTTGACCAGGAGGGATTATACCTCCCTGCATGGTCACTGACAGTTGGTTATCTCATCAAATAAACTCTCAATTAACATAAGAAAACTAAGGGGGATTGGGCATAGAGAGTGCAAGTAAGGCGGGGGGGGGGGCACTCGAAATGTTGGGCCCGATTTTAACACCCCCCCCCCCCTTGAAAAAATCCTGCGTACGCCACTGATTCCATTCAAAGAAAAGAAAAGTTAACAGGAACTAAATTTCCTAAACATTCCGCATGCCACCTATGGAGGTATTTATAATAGCGATACGCGCATATCGTGGAAATATTGCGAGAGGATGGAAAAGCGTGTGTTTTTTTTGGTTATAGGGGTGAGAAGACATGAGCCCCTGAACGCTGGCGTACTGATTGGGGGGGGGGGATTATTTCTTATTCGATACCAGTGATTTACAAAAAAAATTGTAAGTCATACCTTTTTTGTATGCGTTTGTTGGAAAGAAAAACAAATACCCAAATTTACAGTCGGGCGAAAAATATGCTTCTGCATGCCAGGGCCTGCAGAACGGCTGGGCTCGGGGGCTCGAGCCCCCCTTACTTTTTGATAAAGTATGTTACATAGAAAAAGAAAGAAAGAGAGAGTGAAAAAATGCCAATGTACAAATGAGGTATCAAATTATGCTCACCGTAATTAAATGCCTAAAACCCAAGAGCTTACGGGGGCTCCGCCACCACCCCCCCCCCCACCCCCCGGACACCATCAAGGGGCCTAAGGCGGTCCCCTGGATGCTCAGATCTGACCGTAATTAAAAACCTAACACCCCCGAGCTTCCAGGGGCTCTGCCCCCTGAACCCCGCTAAGGACCCTAAGGCGGGCCCCCGGGATGCTCATCTGACCGTAATTAAATACCTAAAACCACTGAGCTTCCGGGGACTTTGCCCCCTGGACCCCACTAAGGGCCTTAAAGATGAAGTTGATCATGCGATTGCATTGTGAAAGAAATGGTGTGTTGAATCGACCAGAAAAGGTTGATCATCTAGCATATAAGTATTGTGTGTATGCGGGAGGGGGGGGGGGGGGACTGAATTCAGACAAGGATTAATAGTCGAGAATGGTACAACAAATCCTCTTCTTTCTCTAAGAATTTAATGAAACGTCAAAGCTTCCGCGCTTCGCGCGTGAGGGGGGGGGGGGAGACTGAATTCAGACAAGAATTAAGAGTCGAAAATGGTACAAGGAATCGTCTTCTTTCTCTAAGAATTTAATGAAACGTCAAAGCTTCGGCGCTTCGCGCGAGAGGGGAAAAACTGAATTCAGACAAGGAATAAGAGTCGAGAATGGTACAACAAAACGTCTTCTTTTTCTAATAATTAATGAAAGTTCAAAGCTTCCGCGCGTAATGGGGAGGGGGGGGGGGGGGGGACAGCGAGCTGCCCGAATATGAATTGTTGATATCTTTTCTCGTTTATCTTCGTGATAAATAACACTTTCACAAAATACATAATTATTATGCTCAAATTTTTGCTTGCTCGTTTCGCTCACTAGCCGAATTGTGAACCAGAAAATTGCTTTTTCGGGCAAGAGGCTTCAGCCCCCACCCGAAGAAAATGTCACAAATTGTATAATTTAAAAAACGGGGAATGTTGATATCCGACAAGAGATCGACGTGACGTGAGCCTGCCCCCTTTCCAAAATGTGCCTGCTTGTAGGTAACGGTATATGGTGCTTCTTATATGACCTTGTTGGTATTGGTATGTTGAGTTGAAAAAACGGTCTGCGCATTTTTCAAATTTCCGCCCCCCCCCCCCCCCTATTGGAAAATCCTGGATCCGCGCCTGGATATGGAATCATTACTCCACTACAGCACAATATGTAATATACCATATCATTACATTGGACTTGGCAGCCTCCGAAGAAGTGCTGAAAATGCCTCCTCTAGCACTCGTTCAACTCTTCTCCACTAGCTGCCATGTTTGAATTTGAATGTTTTGAATTTTATCAGTAAACTCCACTCATATACATGAACAATTTTGTTTACAATACATATATATAAAACAATGATATAAACAAGAAAATCAACAAATGGTATAGTTTCTCGAGTAATCACAAATTAACGAGAAACTGTTTAGCTTAATTTGGTAAATGATATTATAACAAATAATTATATGACACGTACTAGCCTACGTTTGACAATAAAGATACAAACCAAATGGGAATGATAATTTCCTAATTGATGTTTTAAACAATTTTTTTCTTAATATATAAAAAAAAGTGGAATGTTAAAATTCCCCTCGAGTATTCATGATTGTAATACGTACAGGAGTGATCAATTATATTTTCACTGTCAAGTTTCATAATGCTTACAACTTTCTCTTCATCGCTAAGATCTTTAAACTGTCCAGATATTTCAGCTATGTTATTGAGAAATACCCCTTTCAGCCTTATATTTATTGAGTACAATCCTTCATGGTATGAAGTTCATCCCCAAGCCTTCCCAATTTACAGTCATTACAAGTTCTTAAGGTGAAGGTAAATTTTCCGGACGTCTATGTCTTCCAGTTTCTATCGGTAGCTAGTTATGTGAACTTATTCTAAATCGGCAGATATTTGTTCGTAGTATGCGGTTTTTAACGGTTAATAAATATTTCTCTGTTTGTATACTCTGCTTTAATAGATTATTATGTTCTCAATTTATTTTCTTCATTGCCATTTACACAATCACTACATAAATCCACCAAGCCAACTGGCGGTGGTAAAAGTCTTCCATTTAGGTTTCTATTTCTTCTCCAACTACTCTATAACTATAGGTAATGTCATCCAATTCTAAACAATAATCGTTTTTATCCACAAATAACTTAAATCCCCTGGGAAGCTGGTGCATTTCCTAGCTAGCCAGCAGCATTCACAATTAGTTTCAGTCATCTTTTTGTTTTCTTGGACAGAATGGTATAATAATGAATCAGTATTTACATTTCTCATTCGCTGGACAGATTTTCAACAATTAAACAGCATTTTATAGAACCCGAATAAAAAAAAAAAAAGATGATTGACTCATTTACATTATATTTTTTCAAGTTACGTGGGGGAAATTATAAAGAAAACACTAAAAGAAACACTATTTTGTTGTTGTTGTTGTTGTATGGGGCGGGGGCAAAAAATAAATTTAAATAATTATATTTTTCCCTAGTGGAGGGGGATCTCAGCAAAAATTATATATGCGGCCAGTTACCCTGGGCACTGGGAATCTTTAAAAAAAAACTATTGACCGATAGGCGGGCAGGCAGCATGGCTAAAATCACGACTCCAATTTCGACCAATCAGTTGGCTAGATTTCTAAAGATCAGTCTATACATGTAAAAATCACACACTAAAAGACAATCCGGTGTGAATTAGACAATGAAATTAAGATTGTGACCATTCAATGACCACAACAAACATGTCGATCTTTATGTTCTCACATCTATTTAACTCACGTCGCATTACCATTCCGTAAAATTTTAGGGGATTCCCATGACGTAATCAGTCTCCCACCAGTACGATAGAGGGCGTGGCATTAAGGGGATATCCTAGCTAATCCCAATGTCGTATTTTCAGCAAGTTTCACACTTTTAACGAGAAATCTTGATTTCCATCATCCAAGCAGCCCAAGGCCCAGGCTGTAGACAGAAATGACACTTTCGTGAAACAGCTAGAAACCACCATTCGCTCCAAGTCCGTATAGTTAGAGCTGCAGACTATGCCAATTGTTTCCTTCTTTCCCATCCACCACCCCACTCAGCATTCTACTACTAGCTAGACGCTGCATATGCACACAAGCTTGTGCATGCATGCGGATGAACGAGTGATTCCCCAAATACAAAACCACGATAGGCACAGAACATTGGTAAGCAGTGGTAAGTATGGGGATACGTTTCTCATAACTAACATGTTTTACCTTCTGTAAGGCAATTTCCTCTTTATT